GAGAGAGGAGAGAGAAGAGAGAAGAGAGAAGCGAGGAGAGAGAGAGGAGAGAGAGAACAGAAACGCAGATGAGAGAAGAGAGAAGAGAAGAAAAGAAAGAACATAGAAGAGAGACAAACAAACAGAGAAAGAGAGTGTGTAAGAGAAAGATAGACAGACAGACAGACCAGCAGACAGAGAAAGGGAGAAGGGAGAGACCGCGCCCGCAGGAAATCGCTCAGGGTGCATAACAGTTAATATACGAGTCTGTGTCGAAGTCCTAGCCATAAAATCTGTCCACACCCTCCCACAAATCTGCCATATTGCCGCCGGGCCATCTGCAACGCCGGCTAATATCCTGGAGTCTTTGGCAACCATGATGCAACACAGACGAATATTTACCGATTTTTGTCTTCTTTTTTTTCTGCGAACGAAATTTTAGTTTATGGGTCTGTATATTTTTTTCTTTTTTTTTTTCTTCGTTTGTTGTATTTTTTTTTGTTTTATTAGTTTGTCTTTTTTTTTTTTTAGTGGATGCAGTAGCAAGATTATGAATCATATCTAGACCTATGTCGCCCTACACCATATAACGCCACCAACAACAATAACAACAAACTAAAAGCCCCAACAACATACGCAATTAATTCTCTAAACAACCCCCCACTTTTTTCTCTATTTCTCTAATATAACAACAACAACGAAAAGGGCGTAGCAACGAAATTCACCCAGACAAAAGAACCAAAATATTGCGGAAGCCGAAACCCATTTAAAGAATGAGACCCCCTTTGTTGTCACAGGTCGTGGTGGGGTGGGTGGGGGGGGGGTATTAATGAGGAAGGGCTAGGGTGCGTGTGTGTGTGTGTGTGTGTGTGTAAGTGTGTGTGTATGTGTGTGTGTGTGTGTGTGTGTGTGTGTGTGTGTGTGTGTGTGTGTGTGTGTGTGTGGTGTGTGTGTGTGTGTGTGTGTGTGTGTGTGTGTGTGTGTGTGTGTGTGTGTGTGTGTGTGTGTGTGTGTGTGTGTGTGTGCGTGTGCCTGTATGCGTGCGTGTGCGTGGTGTGTAAGTACGTGAGTGGCTAGAGGCGCACGTACGGGTGGGTATATCAATTTATTTTCTGTTTTATCCGTGTATGTTTAAGTGCTGTGTGTGTGCGTGTGTGTGTACTCGCGCATGTAAGTGTGTGAACGTAAATCACCGTGTATTCCCATCTTCCATTTTTCTCTTAATAAGATTCCGATAAGAAAGAACCCCCCACCCCCCCACCCGAGAAAATGAGACGAAGGGGAAAAAGGGGAAAAAAAATAAAGACGAGGAAAAATAGAGAGAGAAAAAAAAAGAAAGAGGAGAGAGAGAGAAAGAAAAAAGAGGTAATAATTTTCGCTTTTTTAAGAAACACATCTGCTGGGTTCTGATTAGATTCGGGGTTTGATTAAGTTAGTTTAGAGAGTCAACAAGCCTCACTGGCTTAAAAGGGGGGGAAGGGGGGGTAGGAATGGGGGTAGGGGGCAGGCAGAGATAGGGAGAAAGGGTTGAAGGGGAATGAAATAAAAGGGTATACAAAAGAGAGAGAGAGGATAAAGAGGTAGAAAAAGAGTTAGGAGAGGAAAGTAACCCGATTTTCGCCGAAGGAAAAAAATGGTAGAGAGAAAAAAAAAAAGATTCTGAAAATTAAATAAATGAATAAAAAGAAAAAAAATATATATATATAGTTCTGTCGGTGTCTTCTTCTCCTTACCTTATCCTAGAGACGATCTTGAAGACGTCGCAGCGAAGGTTGTAATATAACAATGAAATTCACCACAACAACATTTAATTACAACTACAACATCACCATCAACAACAATACTTCCAAATGACTATACTATCAACAACATTAAAGACGACGACAACTATATTCATAATACAACATCTACAAGAACATTTATCAAACTACAACATCATTATACAATAACGTTTACAATTGACGACAACAACTACACTAACAAACACCATACAACAATAATATTCACAATATAGATAACAACATCTGTTCTAACTACAACAGCTAATTTAGTCAGTTGTTGCAAACGCCGTGCTGTTGCAATGCAATCCGCCCCCCCTTCCCCAATGCCCCCCCACCCCACCCCAGCCTCCGGTTCCAAGAAGGGGTGGGAAGGGGGGGGGAGGGGGTTCTCTGGCTGAATATTGATGCCCGGAGAAACCTTAATAATTTAGGATGTGATATCAGTGTTGTAATTAAGGTTATCATAGTATATCACTGAATCATTATCTTCTAATGTTATCGGATTTGCTTTGTTTTCCTTTTTCGTTTTCGGTCTCGACTTCACCAGGTGGATGATTTTTTTTTCGAAAACAAGATTTAAAAACAAAATATTCACATATCTCTCCTGGACTCAAATACTACCACTTCCAATATACATAAAAAAAAATAAAAAGGAAAAAAAAGTCTTCACAAATACTACCCATATTAAACAAAAAAAATAAAATAAAAAAAAAAAAAAAAGTCTTCAACATTATGCAAAACCCAACAAAAAGAGAATTACACAAGGACATTCATTTTACATTTCTTACGCAGAATAAAATGACACATTATACACAACAAGCCCTTTTTTCCCCTCGCTTTCCTGCCCTACGCAACGAGCAGTCATGTACACCCTTAGCTTAATTAACTCCTAATTGATACACCCTTAGATTAATTAACTCCTAATTGATACACCCTTAGATTAATTAACTTTAATTGATGATTGATGTGAAAGGAAGGGTGACTTCCGGTAGCAGTGACCTTTATGAAGCTGCCCCAACGCGCGAGAAAGTGAGATTCGTACAAGTAAATTTCCAAAATGAGTTTTTTTTTTCCAAGGTGAGCTTTTCCAAAATGGTTTCATAAGTAAATCTGAAACTAAATCGAGTCTCATGGTACCTCATGGGCGGGATTTTCTTGAGGTTATTTACCGCTAAATAGTTGTTATTATAAGTAGTTAAGATAGGAAATTATCATAAGCTGGTACCATAAGAAGTTGTTAAAAAAAAATCATAAGTTAATATCCTAAGACGTTGTTATCATAAGAAATTAGTCATTAGAAAAAGAATAGAAAGAACAAGAAACCAGCCATTAAATCATTAGAAATTAATTATCATCATAAGAAATTAATAATAAAAAAAAAATATCCCCATTCCTTATACGAGAAATCCTTAAAGATCTCTCGCTTCTGAAGACCGGGGGAAAGAATGAACTTCCTGGAACAACATTTCCTGAACAACATTTTCTGGCGACTGTGAAAACGGATAGCGAAATGCTGTCTTCACGCCCAAACGTCTTAAAGAATAACTTTCCTGGAATTCCTACTTACGGATCTGTTAAGGAGATGGAACAGGAAGCGAAAGCAGGAAAATGATCTGGGCAGGGCTGAGGAGTCCATACACCCTCCTTGTGCTAATTACATCACCTTAGTCATAGATTTCTACGCTCCGCCTGTATGTATGTATGTATGTATGTATATATATATAATATATATATATATATATATATATATATATATATATATATATATATATATATATATATATATATATATATATTATAGGGGGTAGGTGTGTGTGTGGGGGGGTGTATATATACATACATATATATTATATACATAAACATACATGCATTCATTATATGTATGCATGCATGTATGTATATGTAAAATACACACACATACACACACGTGAATGCACGTGTATATTCCCAAAAACACCTACAAACGTAACTGGACTTGAAAAACGGAGTCCGAAGACGAGGGCGCAGCGGTGATCGCAAATTTCCCCTTGCGAGGCTCCGGGTCCTCCTCCTCCGAAGGGCGTCCGACTCCTGCGGGATCGCCCCCCCCCCCCCCCCAGGCCGGAGGGACACGCGGTCCTGCTCGCTCCTTCGTTTTCTTTTTATGCTTTTCTTGTTCCTTTTTCTTTCCTACTTGTAGTCTATTTTTTTCTTTATTTTCTTGTTAGTATCTGCGTGTGTGTGTGAATGTGTGTGATGTGTGTGTGTGTGTGAATGTGTGTGTGTGTGTGTGTGTGTGTGTTGTGTGTGCGTGTGCGTGTGCGTGTGCGTGTGGTGCGTGTGTAAATCAATAGATAGACGAAAAAAATAATCTACTGATATGACGCTTTAATCACGTTTTCCTCAATTCCTGCCCAACTTTCTACATCTCCCTTTCAACTGTTTACTCGTCCGTCCCTTCCAGTCCCAGTCCACGCGGATTCCCTTTCTCCCAATCCCTTTTCCGTGTCTCTCCATCCCGTAATCTCCTCCGTGGCATACAAATTAATTACGCTAATAATAATAAAAGGGATACGTGTGCATGCCGTATATCTTCCCCCTCTGCTAAGTCACGTGACCACATTTATGACCCAGGATGACCCACGGCACATCACGTGACCTAGACGTCCTAATCACCCCATTATCCAAAATCCCAATCGCCAGAACTATAAATATAACAATAAACATAAATAGATAAATAGGTATACATAATTATATATATATATATATATATATATATATATATATATATATATATTATATATATATATATAATTATATAAATATTATTTATTATATAATATATATATATAAAATTGAATTGATATATTGAAACTAGTAATTGTACGTATATATATATATATATATATATATAATATATATATATATATATATTATATTATATATATTATATATATATACGCACAAACACATGTATCTCTTTTTATAGACACATCAATTTTTAAAAAGGAAATTCAAAAATAAAGCCATAAAACTAAAACGCCACAAACAACAACTACGTATAAAAACACCAAAACAAACAAACAAACAACTACCACCAGACGACACACAAGACGTACACACACCACCCACAAGTAACAAAATACCCCAACCCCCCCTTTACCCACCCTCAAAAAAAAAAAAAAAAAAAAAAAAAAAAAAAAAAAAAAAAAAAAAGACAACAATACACACAACAACAAAATCCAAGAAGGCACTCCTTACCCACGACGTTGAGGAAAGCCAGGAGCTCGCAGAAGAAATATCTGTACGCCCACCAGTTGTGGTGCTTGAGATTGTCGGCGAGGTAGTCCAGCAGCAGCTTCTTCTTCTGCTTCTTCTCGACCTCTGAGCAGATGCCCACGTCCAGATCCATCATGAGGGCATGGATTTTGCCCCCTTCCCAATTTTTCCACATCCACCTCGGCGCATAGAAGCAGATTGCCTGCAAGATTAAAGGGCAAAGGAGGTCATGCCAGGCGCTTTTTTTTTCAGTGGGTGGTTTGACAAACGAGGAGGAAGGAGGAGGAGGAAGGAAGGAAGGAAGGAGGAAAGAGGAGAAATAGGAAGAGGGGTTTTGGTAGATTCTCTCTTTTTTTTTACTTCTTCTTCAAAGAGATAGAAGGCCACGTAAAAAGGAAATTAAAGAAAACGGAAAAATGAAGGAAATAAGGGGGAAACTATGACAGATTTCTTATCAAGTCAATATATATATATAGACAGCAAAATAAGAATATAGGGGAAGTGATACGATTTTTTTGTGAAAGGGGAGAAGGACAGAAGTGATGATAAGACACGCATAGGCTCGGATGTCCTGTTAAAAAAGGCGAAAGAAGGTGAATTTTCCGAAAGAAAAGAATTGACAGATCGGGGAGATGAAGATGGAGAAACGAAGGAGACAAGAGAAATAGAAACAATCATGAAATGTCATTACTTAATGCTATGCACCGACACATCGTCCTCATGAAATACGAGAGATATAAAAAATAACACTTATATATATAAATATATATATCATCTCTTCAAAAAAAAAAATCGATTAATGATCCGCCATGAATAGAGACGTGAATAAATGCACATGTGTATGAATGAGCGAACTGTGTACGTCAATGTAAATGTATATCCATAAAGAAAGAAAAAAAATGGTAGGTGGAAGGATAAAAGGTCTATCGGGAGAAGGACGAACCGCTGCTCTCCTGCATGTCAACCGGTGCCTCCTGGATTTCTCACATCTACAAACCTGAACTAAAAATCGAAGGAAGAAGAAAAAAAAAATAGTGAAAAAATAGAGATGTAGATATGTTTATAAGAATAGGGTTTCTCTCTCTTTTTTTTTAATATATCTTAAGAGTAAAGTGGATTAAAATTAACAAGGTCTCTTAAGCGGGAATTACAAAAAAAAAAAAAAAAAAAAAAAAATGACTAACGAAGGCTCAGGATGTCCAACAGTACACCTACACTGACACAACTCTACGGAAGCACCCGCCTGAATTCAACTAAGTAGTGCTGATGGTAAGGTTAAACAGGAGACCACGACAAAGCTATCTACATTGATCACTTTACAAACAAGTCTAAGTGGACACTACAGGTACAGGATTACAGGAGGACACAAGGGCAACTGTAAGTAAGGAACGGGACCACACATATCACGGTTGGAAGTGCATTAGACTGATATTCTACAGGCACCTATACATGGTCAGATAAGATGGCTACAGGGCAAGGAACTTTCTTAAAAAAAAACAGTCAAACTACAGTGATATAAAAATGGTCAGCCAGAATGTAATCTAGAAGTAGAACTGCGGTAGAACTGCGGATTCATACACTAAGAGCAAGGCTTAAGGAAAGGGAAAAAGGGAGTAGGGAAGAAGAGAAACATTGGAGGAAAAGAGGAAGAGGAAAGATACGTGAAAATAGGGGAAAGAATGGAAGGAAATAAGCAAAAGGGAGAAACTATAAAAAAGTGTAGGAAATAGAAGAGAAGACTGGAGAGAGAGAGAGAGAGAGAGAGAGAGAGAGAGAGAGAGAGAGAGAGAGAGAGAGAGAGAGAGAGAGAGAGAGAGAGAGAGAGAGAGAGAGAGAGAGAGAGAGAGAGAGAGAGAGAGAGAGAGAGAGAGAGAGAGAGAGAGAGAGAGAGAGAGAGAGAGAGAGATAAAGGTAGAGATACACAGAAAAAGTATTCTACTGATAAATAAATAGACCGAGAGTTAACAAAATACACAAAGAGAAAGAGAGATACAGAGAGAGTAGAAAAGACAGACAAATAAACAGAGAGATGAGAGATAAGGGTAGAAAGGAGAAGAGGGGACAAACTAAAAATGGGGGGGGGGGGAAGAGGAGGAAGATTACAAGAAGTGTATAATGCAATATCAAGAAAAAGAAGAAGAGAAACAAAATAATATGTTGTATATATATATATAATGATCCCGTCTGTATCGTCAAGTTAAGATGAAGATCTCCAGATGAAGATTCCCTGCCGAAGATGCTGCTGCAAAGATGAGCTACGCGAGAGAATGATGTACTGCATGATATATGTCTGTGAAAATGCCTATGTTATCTATACCTTTGGTCAGGTACATAAAAAAGTCTTTATAGAAACTCATGAACGAGAATTTATTATTTTTTTTTTTCATTTTTTTTTGGTCATATTGCAGAGGGAATCAGAATGGGTTATATGTCGATATATAAAAATAAGTATTTTTTTATATAGAAAAATAACAACGGAACGAAAAAAACAGACGCATTGAGATGAAATAAGCCTAAAAAATCCTGATAGATGAAGTTGTTATCGATATCGCGATCAGAACAAGTTTAACGATCTCTTAAACCTCTCCCTTCACTATCTTATGAAAAAGGGGGGAAAAATAAGGAAAAGGGAAGAAATAAAATGTCAAAATGGTGACACGGATGGAAAGAGGATATAGAGAGGAATTAAAAAATAAATAAATATATATATACATATATCGAGATAAGTTTTAAAGCGATTAAGAAAACTACAGATTATGGTGTATAATAAACACCCTTCTACCCCAGCCTTTAACATTACCAAAGCTTTGAGAGATAAAAAAAAAAGAGAGATGAACATAGACTTCATCTCTTACCCCCCCCCCCAACCCCCCTTTGGAACATATCACTTCCTCTCCACATTTCCTTTCGTGTGTTTTCTCCCACCTCTCTCTTGTCTTCCCCATTCTTTCCTCCTCTCCCCTCTTGGAGCGCTGGGTATCGAAGCTTCCAGCAATCTCGGCCACTCTCCCCTCACTCTCACCCCCGCCCCTAAAAATTCGCAGGGGGGGGTCAGCGGAGGGGAAAGGGGGGAGGGAGGAGGAAAAAAAGGGCTGATAATCATTAGAGGAGGGAGAAAAGGGGGGGCAACAGGGATAGGGATCGGGGGATAAATACGAAAATAAGAGAGAAACGGAAAAAATAAAACACTGTTTATCATTCAAACCATGGCGATGAGTTTAATGACACAATGGGGTTGTGATTGCACCGAAAGAAAAGAAAAAAAGTTTATTGAAAGAAAACCATCGAGAAAAAAAAAAAAAAAAAAAAAAACATAAGAAGCGGGAATGAAAATCAACACAATTCCAAAAAGGAGGATTTTATGTGAAAAAAACGAAGAAAAAAAAAAAACGAAGCACGGTAGGATTTAACAAACAAGGACACAGAGACTAGGGATACAGAGCAGACCACTAGAACATTCCTTGCTGAACAGTAAGTCGGACGCCCACACATAGGCCTCCCGGAGCATAGGCCTCTCCCGCCACGTCCTCTGAAGTCTGAAGTGTCTGCTATGAAGCAACACAAAGGGCTTTCTAACATCAATTGGAAGAAATGCTGGAAGACCGTCTTTCGTTTCCTGTTCTCGTCATTGTCGTTATATTACCGTGATTATCGTTATCATCATGGTGATCAATGTGACTAGTTTTAGCATCTCATCATCATTAATGGTAATATGTGTATACACACGCATACATTACACATACATACAGTATCTATCTATTTACATCTGTCTATCTATTCATATATATTTATATATATATATATATATAAATATATATATATAAGTATATATATATATATAATATATATATATATATATATATATATATATATATTAATATATATATACATATATATATATATATATATATATATATATATATATATATATATATATATATATATATATATATTTATATATATATATATATACATATTATTATATATATATATATATATACACATATACATATAAATATATATATTATATATATATATATATATATATATATATATATATATACATATATATATATATATATATATATATATATATATATATATTATATATATATATATATACATATGCAAATATATATATAATATATATATATATATATATATATATATATTTATATATATATATATATAAATAATATATATGTACTCATATACATATGCAAATATATATATATATATACATATATATATACACATACATACATATACACACACACACACACACACACACACACACACACACACACACACATATATATATATATATATATATATATATATATATATATATATACTTTATATCTATAATTTTATATATATATATATTGTAACTAAACTACCTGTTTTACTCATACAACATTTCTTCCTAAAGCATTCGGGTGTCTTCCAGCATTCCTTTGGCCTACAATCAACAATCAACAACATCGAAGGGAAACAGTAACAACATCTACTAGAACAAACGAAAATTTTTGTTCATTACTCTTTTTTTTATTTCATTTTAATCAATCAAATGGCCATTAATTACACACAACATAAAGCAGCCTATGATTTCATCTTTAAGGTATATGCTTAGTGATCCACTCATAGTTAATGGTTAAAAATAGAAATTCCTCGTTATCTTTATGTTAATCTTTTTAGTTGGGGGGAAAGATGTAAACAAAAGGAGAGTGAAAGGAGAAAATAAAAAAAAAATATTCCGATATATTTGGTAAGTACGGATAAGTAGCTTTTTTTTTTTTTATTATATATGTGAATTTTTTTAAAGATTTATCTTTTTTTAAATCGGTTAGTGGGTTAGTTATCAAAACGGAAACAAAACAGAAGCAAGAAAGATAAAGAGAGCAAGGGAAAGAGAGATATAGAAAGAACCAAAAAAAGGAGATAGAAAGAAAAGAAAAAAAACAAGAAAAATAACAACGAAATCCTTCCTCTTCTCTCTTCCAGACAGTCTGCTTCCATGGGTCGTGGTGGAGGTGTAAGAATGGTATAATAAAAAGGAGAAAAAGAGAAAAAACAATTAATCGATAATAAATACAGTAGATCAGCAGAAGCTCGAAGCCATGTTAAAGCAGAGAACTTTTGTCATCAAACAACAGCAGAGCACAGCAGGCAAATGTTAAGAAAAGCCAGGCTAGAAAGGTG